TGTATTGGATGTTCCACTCTTGCCCAATGTAAATCCAATGCAGTATTCTGAAAAATCTCATGGTTTTTATTGAACATACATATGAAAGAAAATGGATCGAATCATGGATGGTAGTGTGAAATGCCAATGCTTGTAATTTCAAAATGCGTGTTCAATTTGGTTGAAACTTTGCAAGTGTATAAAACTTGCCATGTATTAATAAGAAATAAGATCTGATAGGAAGCAGCTGAACCCTCCCCATGTGGCTCTTATGAAGGTTGGTGGTGAAATGGAATTCATGATAATTTGCAGGGAGACTGCAGCAGATGGAGAAAGCCAAAAGGAAATTCCAGAGAGGCTAGAGCTGAAAGATGAAATCCAACATCGCTGTGTTCTAAAGGCTTCTAGCAAAATACGGTGAGAGTGAGAAATATTTCTACTGCGGTCTTTAGCCCCCTGAAAAATGCCTTATCTGAAAAAATGTCCACAATATACAGAAGATTCCTCAACTTGGTGGAATGACCGGCATGCAACTCACCACTTTTCACCAAGATGCCACTTTAAATGGTATTGTGACCTTTGACTTTGTTTCCACCAACCCTAGGTCTTTCGCGACCATCCTGGAAAACAGCGCCGCGTCCCTCAAACTGGTGCTGCAGCTGCACAGTAATTCTCTTGAGACCTATATCTTCCCGTCAATGGAGGGCCAGCAGTGGGAGGCGGAGAAACAAGGCATGGTCACCTTCCCGGGCCACCGGTCAGATGTCAGGACCGTGGCCTTCAGCTCGGACAACACTACGGTGCTGACCGGCGCTGGAGAATCCGTCAAAGTCTGGAACAGGTAGACAAAGCCTTCTGGCCTTCCTACATGTACGATTAAACTATACAAACCCTATGAAAATTACCTTCATAGATAATATTGCAAATGCTGGTGCAAATCCGCTGCTCATATACCACCATAGAGTAACTTGTGTAACTTAGTTCTGTACAGTAAGTTGATTCATAATCGCCTAGAGATAGGAAAGACCACATTGAATCTTGCAACATGTATGTATGTTCATTAACTGCCAACAGGCATTGCCCCACACAGTCTTACAAGCCTGCATAGTGTTGTATACTGAAATCTTCATTCTCCCTTAGTTAGATTACTGTACTAAATCCAGATGTGGGTTTTCTTGGTTCACTAAGGCCATGCTCTATTGATAGCAGTTGGAGCATAGATGGTTTGTTGTGGAATCCTCTTGGGTTTCATCTGGCTCAACACAATACTGGGTTGAATCTGCAGGACCCAGTGAGATGTAGAGATAAAACTAGACAAGTTTAGAATTTCAAGATACATATGTACAATACTTGATTTACTGTTCAGGTTGTTGCATTCTCTGTGCACACCTTGGTATTGTCATTAACTTTAAAATGTGCTTGTGTCTTGTTTGCTATGAGTTGTGAGTTGGAAACATTTATAGCTTTTCACAAGTTATGGCTGGTTTTGTCTTGTTCTTTAGAGCAACACAACAGTGCATCCGGTCCATGAAGTCAGGTTATGCTCTCTGCTCCGCTTTTGTGATCAGCGAAAGGCACTCTCTGATTGGAACAAAGGTTTGTAGCTGTCAACCTTGGAGGGGATTACTATACACAAGAACAGCTATTGGCTTATCCAGCAACCAGGTAGCACTGTGGTCCTGCTCAGTTGGTACCAGTACACTTACATGTACGTTAAATGCCTTTTTGATCACGAGGCTGCTGCGATTTCCGGAACGTGTGCGTGCCTCTAGTTTCAAAGCATGTTTGAGTGTTTAGCCAACCCGTGGTAATGGCGTCTTCCGAAATTAGTCGGTAGAATCATGCGATCATATTATCCAGTGTCGTGAAGAAGCACTTTTTTTCTGTTTGCCTTTTGTGTCCCTGTGAAAGTGTAGACTGGCCACCTAGAGTTGTTTGACATTGCAGCAGGTGCATTACTGGAGAGAGTTGAGGCCCATGAGGGCGCTATCTGGTCCATAGCTACATCTCCAGATAAGGTGAGCTTTGCCACTGTTTGCGTTGAAGGCCAAACCTTTTTTAGGCATTGAACCGAATTGTAGTACGGTTTCCAGAATGTGTCCACCAATTTCTTGTATCTTGTTGACCACTAGCTGCCGGGCGACCCGCTTTCAGGTACATAGGCTTTATAGGCAGAGCCGGGGAGCCCAGAACTGGGACAAAAGAGTTGGGCCTAAAAAAAGACTGTGCTCAGCACAAAAGACTGAGCTGCAGGGCATTACCAACATTTTTTCACTCTCAATAGTGGAGATAATCCAGCCTTGTTTTGAAACAGTATACCATGGTTTGAGGCATTTAGAGCGAGCAGATTACCACCGGGGACAAAAGTTCTCCACCACCTCAGCAATGAGCCACACAGCACCGCTGCTCGCTAATCTGGCCCCTGTTAAAAAGAGGTCAGCAGTGCACTGTGCGGGTTCGGGAACAAAAGAATCTTACATAACACCGCACAATCTGGGCTCTCTTTCCAAGGCTGCAGGCCTGGCTAAAATATTCAGGAGTCAATGAATTTTACCTGTCAGCTTTAGAGTAGTGCCCAAAGAATTCTTCATTTTGGTATAAATGGCCATTAAATGGAATGATGAAGTTTTGAAGAATTTTGAAAATGGAAAATCTTGAAAATGACCTGGCATCTTGTCTTGCTCAAGAAAAATCCCCCCAGCAGCAAGTGGTTAATCCACCTAAACGTTAACCTCTACAGTAACCTAATACACAGAGTTTTACCCAGAAATGTACGCCCTCAGAAATGCCGCACAACTTGCAAACCTTTCAAAGTATTGCTCTGTTGAGTTGGCTGTGCTAAGCCATTAAAAACTCTTCACAGTCTTGTGTGAGGCAAAGTTTAGGGCAGACTATTGGCTGGTGCCTTGCAGTATTACACATGTGCTCTGTTTTCTGCAAAGAAAAGTTTGACGACACAGTTCAAACCTGGCGTTTCAGAAAGTTTGTCATTGTTGATGTAGAATCATAATCCGACATTAGGGAATGCCGGCAAGATCTTGTAAATGGATGAATTGGTATTGGCAATTTCGTATTGCATTTAGATCACTATCCTTTTCTGTTCATAATGAAAAGTGACTTTGCTTTGGAACTTTAAACCTTTTTTCTTGACACAGCGAGGATTTGTGACAGGCAGTGCAGACAAGACTCTCAAATTCTGGGATTTTGAACTGGTCAAGGATCCAGACTCCCAGCAGGCCAGTAAGCGACTGACCGTGGTCCACCGACGCACCTTACAGATGTCAGATGACGTCCTGTGCGTCAAGTATTCCCCAGATCAGAGGCTGATAGCTGCAGCCTTGCTAGACTCCACCGTCAAGGTCTTCTTTGCTGATACGCTGAAGGTAACAAAATGTACTCATGTGTTTTCAGATCATTAATATTTTCCTCAAAAAAGTTTTTTTGTGGTAATGTTCCAAAATGCATTAAAACACTGTAGGGATTATTTCCCAAGCTGAGCTGTATTCAGTTGCTTGTCAGCAGCAATCTTTTATTTCGATAGGGTGTCAGTTTTCAGGCAAAATCATGAGTTTAGACTTAGTCATTTAAAATGTTTGGGCTTATTTCAGGCATTGTCTAGTTATGTTTAGGACTCTCTAGCCTTATTTTTGTGCTTTGGACAAGAACCAAAGTGCCATTCCGGTGTGTTTTACGTCCATTGTGTCAGTTTTGGATTCACTTCTCTGTATAAAAAATGTAACCATTTCTTTGTGAGTTGTACTTGATTTTACTTGCGATGTTCCTTGCAGTTTTTCTTGTCATTGTATGGACACAAGCTCCCCGTGTTAACAATGGACATATCATCAGTAAGTCAACAGTTTTGTATACTTTTATGTATTGTTTACTGATGGATTTGTGATGTTCGTGTTCCTTAATATGATCTAAAGACCAAAATCTGATAAGATATGCTTTCAGACAGCAATAGTCTTATGTATTTGGTAACTTTTTATCAACTTCTGTGCACAGGACAGCACTTTGATAGTAACTGGCTCGGCTGATCGCAACGTCAAAATCTGGGGGCTGGACTTCGGAGATTGCCACAAGTCCATGTTTGCCCACGACGACAGCATCATGAGCCTGCAGTTTGTGCCCCACACCCACCTGTTCTTCAGCGCTGGCAAGGACAAGAAGATCAAGCAGTGGGATGCTGATCACTTCGAGCATATCACCACATTAGAAGTGAGTCACATATCAGTTGGTGGCAGAAGTGGGATAACCATTCTCATGTAACATATAATATTACTTGAGCAAGCAGATGGATTGTATTTAAGCTGCATTACAACATTGGAAGTGCTGAGGTGTCAGTTAGTGGCAAAATGACATTAATTTCAAGTTTCTCACGCCCACAAAACGTGGAACATGTTTTGTACTTTACCTTTCATTAACAATCAAATCCTATGTAAATCAATCTTGACTGGGATCTACCTTCCTCTAATCCTGTAAAATCTTTGAAAGTCTTTTGGAGAGTATGGGGGCTAGGGTTAGCCAATAAATCAAGAATTTATACTTCAGTCTGCTGCTATTAAACCTGGAGTAAAGACTCCATTTCTGCCATGTTTCAGGGCCATCATGCCGAAGTGTGGTGTTTAGCAGTCAGCCCTAATGGAAACTATCTGGTAAGATTATGTGAAATCATTACATATAAACTTGGGCTGTGATGCTGCCTGAAACCTTTGTTCAGAGTGGGAATTCCAACTTTCTTAAAGTGATTTGAGTTAAAAAAAGGATTCGTGTCCAAATTTGCTGTTCACGATTTCCCATTGGTGCAGATGCCATTATCTTGCAGTAGCATAGGCTGGACAGAAATTGTGATGACAAACACATTTCATATTTGAGGTTTTGAAAACTTTTAAAAAGAAAGTACAGATCTGTGGGTTCTGACTCTACAAAAAGGTTCTCTGTTCCAGTGAAACATCCACATGGCCAAAACACACTTTACTTTGCTTCCACTGGTAGTTGAGCGTCCACTCACTGGAAAAAAATTAGATAAGCTGGTGGGAATCATATCGTCTTGGTGCCAAGCACTCATGCACAAACTGTACATTTCAACAGAAATTGGTCATATATGCTCAGTTTGGCTTATGCCAAATGCAGACAACTTGTGCGTGCATGCAGTGACCTCCCAATAACAGAAATTGTTGCTGTGTAAACAAGCATGCCACCTCTTGTTTTTCGCTGTGAGCCGATATCACTGGTCCAGTTTGGCAGTATGAGTCGCTGGCATGCAGTCATCTAACTTGTCGATGGTTGTCGTGACCTTTTGATTGGTAGGTGTCTGGGTCACATGACAAGTCCCTGCGTCTGTGGGAGAGGACCCAGGAGCCCTTGGTCCTGGAGGAGGAGCGGGAGATGGAGAGAGAACAAGCTGCAGAGGAGGCCATGGCCCACGAAGAGCAGCCTGCGGTAAGGCGACAACTCCAAAGAGTGCCCTGAAGCCCTGTCTGTCAACAAAACACTAGAAACTCTTTCACTGTGTAGGTGCCATGCTCATGCGCAGGTAGTACGGTAACAGCATGCTATTGCCTTTTTCAGGCTGAGATAGGTGACTGAATTTATTCTTCAAATGTCGCCATTTTTCACTCGTAAGCCGTGGCTTATAAAAAATTACGGTAGTAATTGCGGTTTTTTTTTAATAAAGTTTGTTCCTCAGTTGCGATATTTTTCGATATATTTTTCAATATTGATGTTTTTGAAGTTTCGATATTTTCAATATTTCTCCAAAATCCGATATTTTCAATATGTCGATATTACCAAGTAACTAACATCGGCGATATCGATGTCAAACCCATATCGATAATATCGATGTATTGACAGTGCTTAGTCACTAATAGATATTTGTCTGTGGTTACATGCAGTTCCCAGGTCAAAGTGCAAACAGTGAGCTTGCATCAGCGGGTAAACAGACTGCGGAGACCGTCAAGGCAGCCGAACGTATCATGGAGGCCCTGGAACTGTACAAGGAGGAAACAGCCAAGGAGAAGGAGCACGAGGAGATACAGAAGGCCAGTAAGAAGGAGGTCAGTGACAGACAGGGTGAGGGGAGAAAGGGTGGGGAAGCTGTGGGGTAAGTGCTCAAGAGATTCATGTGTGAGAAACTGCCAACAGGAGCAAGAAGAATAAAGAAAGTCCTAGTTGGTACGGTTAAAGGGTAAGGGATGTCTTTGAAGTAGAAAAGGCAATGGGTATTCAAACAAGGAGAAACTCATAGAGAGGCTCAGAGTGCAAGGAGGCACATAAAGAAGCAGGTTATTCGATTTCATAACCAAATACAGTAACGGATAAGAAACTATCAGCAAAACAGGCGTGGTGAAAACAGACAAAAACCGGAGGGCATGTTTTCTACTGACTAAGGACCATTTTGCTGAGATAAAGAATTTTTCAAATGAACACAAACTCAAGAATTCTCTGAGATTACATAAATTCAGTGTTTCGTTTCATATTCAACACTGATGGCATTGTTCCTTCTTCACAGATTCCCCCCTTCACAAAGCACCCCATTCTGCAAGCATACGGCAACACCTCGGTGAGTTCCAAAAGCGATTACGATATTCCAGAGGTCATAGGTTCAAATCCTGCTTGAGTCAGTTTTCTTTGTTCATCTTTGTAATCATTTGTAAGCACCTGGTCAGTTTCCCTATGTAGTTTGTTTCATGATTTGTGTTCAAAAAAGCCATATTGCCCCCGAGTGATCCCAGTTCACCATTTCCCAGGTTGCATCGTGTATTTAGGGCATGACCCCTGGTTATATGGTGGTTCAGGTTTCATGGATTCTAACTAGCACCCCCCAACAAAGATATTGACAAATGGGAAGAGCCACCAATGTAGGGCTGGATAGCTCAGTTGGTAGAGCACCGGTACAGTGTTTCAAAGGTCGCAGGTTCAAATCCCGCTCCTGTCAATTTCGCTGTTCATCTTTACAATCAAATTTACCTTGAAGGAATTAATGTGTTGCCTTCATGACAGAGAAACAATTTCGACCAACCTTATTGATGGTGAGAAACTCAGTAGAAAATTCCCCTGTTCATACTGAAGTGAAGCAGTTTACGTGTTATGAGTTTCAACAAAAAAACATTGATTTCAACAAGGGTGTTAATTAATAACGGGGTTTTTATCTACAGCCCACAAGATACGTGCTTGAAGTTATCAAGAAAGTCAAGTCCAGGTATGTAAGCAGTATGGGGCGGCCCCAAGGAAGACTGTCAGAATTGTTGTTGGAGGACGTTCAGTTAATTGTAGCTGTGTTCTGTCTATATTTCTACAGAGGACGCTGTTCAAACATTGAGTCAACTGGTTCTGAGAATCACAGAAGCTCAACAAAGCGTTCGCCTACAGGTTGCTACTGCAACTTTACATTTAATAGACTCTGTACTGTGCAGGTCACTTTCCAATGTCACAGCCGACATCTTGTGTATACATGTACATTATTCTGCGGTTAATTTTCCATTCTTTAGTGTTTGTTATGACGTATTGCTCCAAAGCAAATGTATTTAGGGTTGTGTAAAATTGTCCATTGTCATTCAAATACAAAGTTTGTTTTTACTTTTAAAAGAGAGGCCCCTCCTTGACAATCTTTTGGAACACTCTGCACTGCAAACCTTTCCCATCGTGTTTTGGTGATTTATTTGTAATTGTTGTGTGGCAGTTCTGTGCCAGTAAAAATGCAGTATCTAAGATGGGATATAGTAAATCACAAAAAAGTGGATAGTTCAAGAGGTGTCAACACAGCTAACGGGGGAAGAGACAGAGACAGGTTTAGAAACCAGACCGACGATCAATCTGTCAGAAACTTTCGTTCCAGTGAACTAGAGGAGTCACTGTTGGTGATACCATTCAGCTATGTGCTGGAGCTTCTGCCTCTGCTTGAGACCTTCATCAGCTCAGGATGGCAGGTGGAGCTAGCCTGCAGGTGTCTGCTCTTTCTTCTGAGGTGAGAGCTTTACTTTAAGAGTCATTCAGACGAAATTCTGGCCAAGTTTTTTGGAAAGATATTATAACGTGCATTCCCCTGCCCTGCCCTCTCTTATGAATGTGGCACTATTTCCTGAAAAAACTACTATTTTCGGAAAATGTGGTGAGAAATGTTTGTTAGGGCCAAAACGTCAGGATGCCTGAGGCAATAGCTTTGAAGCATTTCAAGATCTCAATGAGTTGATTTCCACGTTGCATATGTGATTTGACGTGATCCACATTACTTATTCTCAACCTTTTTTTTATCATGCGCCTTCATATCTCTTACATCTCACAACTGGAACATGTCTAAAACTTCTAGTAAATTGTGTAGATTCTCCCATGGCAACAGTTTTTGTAGTGATCAGTCCTGTTTGATCTTCAATCCTTTGGGAGGGTTGAGGACTGTAAGGGCTAACTTTCCTACTTTTTAGAAAGGGAAAGTCACCGAAAATTTCAATCCACTTCTACAGCTTCAGCACAAGATTTTTTTGTGGGGAGAGGGCCAAGTTTGTTTGTTTGTTTGTTTTTTTTGGGGGGGGGATTTGGCATTGTTGTCATGTGACTCTATGACCTTTCTGGGAGAATCGGGCTATAATGAGGGCTTTTGACATACTTTTGGAAGGGAGGGAAATAAAAAGGCATAAAATTAACATTCTCTCATAAACAAAGGATTGAGCTCGGCTTATATTTCGGGACGACATTTTTTCTTTGGGGGGGGGGAATAGTCCTTATTGATCCCCATCCTCCCTTGGGTACTCTATGTAGACATCATATGTCGCCAGGTTAAGTTTGTCTAAGAGGACAGCTCTGTGTGGCATATACAATCACACAGGAGGGTTATTCATTCCGTTTATTGTTCTGGCAGGGTTCACCATGGTCAGATCACATCCAGCCAGTCGCTGCTACCAATCATCGACAGATTACGCACCACCTCACTGCAACAGGTGCACCAGATGAGAGTAAGTCGTGGTCAGAGATGGGGGAAAGCATTACCCCCCCCCCCCGGAGGGCGAGCAGGGGTGATTGCTTTCTGCAGGGGGGAAGCCATTTAAGGGGAAAAAGCACTGAAATGTGGTGGGGTTGCAGAGGCACGGTATAATTTGACTTGAAGGGTTACCATAGAAACATGTAGTGCTAAGTCTGAGTCTTTACCTATGTAAGCAGGTGGACACATGCCGACAGTGGTCGTGGCCGTATTGTTAAAAACCTCATATTAGATATGACCTGAGCTACATGTCGGGTCTCTTTCTGATAGTTTGTATTGTCAAAGTATGTGAAATTAGGGAGAATCTCATAACTCGGAATGGTCACATGGAACGCCTTGTTCTCATTCCAGAACAGGTGACCCTTCCACTGGGAAAACAGCATTTCTGTTGGAACACTATCCCAGAATGCTCTATGCACAAAGCAGACCGAAATTTTGCAATGGAACACTGGTGTTGCAGTTTGAACGTTCCACACGCCCTCCATTGGCTTGTTTGCTGTCATTCCCCCCCCCTCGCAAGACCCATGGGGTTGGTTTCACCCCAAATTTGGCTGGGTCCTTAAAGTTTCCCATTTGAATAGTGAATAAAGTGTCACCGTCGGATACTGTTTTTTTTTTCTGACGGCAATCTGTGTTCCGCCTGTCGATAGGATCGGATTGGGTTCAACCTGGCCGGTCTGCAGTTTCTCCAGCAGGAACTGGAGTCCCAGAAAGAGGTGCAACTCTTTGGCGATGCCACGGCCAAGATGAAGGACAAGAACAAGAAGAGAAAACGAAAACTCATGATCACCTTGACGAGTTAAGATACCTGAGAATTCCTTCAATATTAAATTCCTACCCAGGGCAATATTCTTTATTAAGGAAGAATTTTTAGGGGGCAGAACTTTCCCTTATAAAAGCACCGTATACTTTATTTTCAAAATACAAACAGAAAACAGACTGTGGGTACATGAACATGTTGCGTCTAAAGTGAACCATTTGCTTACAAAAAATATGAATTGTACAAGCATGCATTAATACAAGGAACCACACATTTGGCAGTGCAGCATTTGTACTTGCATTTGTACTTTGGCCTGTGTTCGATAGAGTCGGTCACAAAGTGTCATGAGAGTGTGGTTAATTAAGTCTAGTAATCAGCCTCAAGTACTGATGCAGTAATACTGTCAGTATTGTATAAAATCAGCATCCTGTAATCAGTGTTTTCGATTTGTGCAGGTATTAAGACAAAGCTAGTGGCCAAGCATTGTTTGTATGGTATCCTACGTTCGATTAAAAACTACTGCATGTAAGAAAACTATGACATTGAAGTCACTATGTTCGTCTTAACCGAGTGATATGTATATTTATAAACACTATTAAAATCGTAGCCTCGGGTTGTATTTACAAGTATTTGGTTGAGGGTGTTTAGTACCTACTTGATTCAGAACCCCAAAACATCAGAAAGCAAAAATTGTACATTTTCATCGAGGCACATTTTTGCGCACCAGATGTTCTGAGTTTGACTGTTAACGGCTGCGTTCTTGCAAAGCATGTCAGCGTTGCCTGCTAGACGCCATAAATGTTAAAATGTCCATCTGGACATCAGTGCGGCTCGAGTTAAGTTGCGAACCATTTTGTCCGATTGGGATAACCTCAGCAGATATTTGAAAAGGGTGATGTATGGAAAAGGCTCACTAAATTCGGCCTTTGCGCGGCCGAGACGGAGGCGTGAAGCGGCTCTTATCGGCTAAGTATCGACTAACATTTTGAGTTAGTATTTACTAGGGCAAGCTATTTCGCTGTGTAAAGTAAGTGATAAAATGATCAATGACAAAAACAATAATATACTTTGATACGTAACACCAATTAAATACAAAACAATGAGGCACGTTTTGCTACAAACATCTTCCAGGAATGTCTCTACGCCGAAGGGTAATCTTCACGTTGCAAAGGCATATACATCTTAAGTACCTCAATACGAACCCGCATCTCTGTCGGAAAATCTTGATACGCGCTACATCCCACATGCATAGCTGAAACACGTTCCATGTGCACTTGAAAGAATCACTTTGCTCACTGCGAACATTTTCGTGATCGCCAAAAATAAAGCATCAAAAAGAATTTTGAATAAAATGTTCCACTATGTGTCTCTTCAAACATCAGTTTGGATTTCCTTGCGAGGCCCATTTGAAAAAGGCGTCTGGTTACCGTTCAACACGACCATTCCCTGGCCTTTCTCGACGTCCAGGAGGTGCGTGGGAAAGGCGGGCTTGTTGCCCTCCGCGTCTAGCATCGGCGAGGTCGCGTCTGGAATACCGGCGTAGCGGTGCTGTGTCTGGGACCTGCTGAGCGAGGCGTCTTGGTTGGGGCCTAGCAGCAGCGGCCGATGGTAATCGTTCAGGAGCGACTTGCATCGGCCAATGACGAGCAGAAGGAACATCTCGATAACGACCAGCATGTTGTACAACACTGCAGAAAGGGATGGAGTTTGCAAAGCGGCATAAAAATTGGGCATTTTGGATCGAGGAACATTGGTCTACGACACAGAACTGAAATGAGAACATTTCTCTATTTATGAAGTGCGGTTTTCAGTCAAGATGATGACAGTAAATCTAGTTTGATATTGCGTACTGGTTATTCTCGGAGATTATTACAGCGAATATTGCATGTTATGTTATATTGAACACTGGATATTGCCATGAGTTTGTACAATGAATGTCTTTTAAGGGAGATAGCCTGGAGATTCCCCTAGGACAGCCTCTCGCGGTGGAGGATGTCTGGGCTGTTAAGAGCCAGTGATGCAACCAACCTTGGCTCACTCAGTCCTGGCAGTTACATAGAAAATGCATGTCATCGTCGACACGCGCGAGTTCGACCAAAGCTTGTCGAGCAGCTCTAAAACCTTGTGTCGTGTCTGAAACGAGCTTCTGCCCCTACGACTTCATATATTCAATGAAGCGAAGACCTAGACATAGCTTAGACAACAGATTCGGATGTAGTCAAAGTGTTCTTTATCAATTCCGCCCTTGGCTGCGGTAAAATCTATTGCTAGAATTGGCGTCTGTTACCACGGGCCCCAGGCAAGACTTTCAGACACCGCCGAGGAACCCAGGTCAAGGCCAAGTATGGACGCAGACATTCAACGCAGAAGGCATTTAAGCCCCATACTTACGGCTGGCTCTAATACTCGGCGCCAGGACGCCACTGCAGGGGAACCACACCACCTGGGAGATGATGGTGATAACCAGCCCCTGGATACTGGGAACGATCATGAAGAACTGGAGCAGGGAGAACCGGAGACGGAATGTTCCATACATGGCGGCTAGGCTGGCATCGGCCGCTACGTTTATGATGGTCAAGGCATACATGGCGGTCAGCGTTGATGCCAACATGGTGACTGACAGGTACAGATAGGCAGATGTGGGGTCCACCTACAGAAATAAGGAAAGGATAAGTCTGAATTTGTGTTGGTCCCCAATCCTCGGCTTCCTCTATCTCTTGTTGCGTGCACGGGCTTTACAAAAGCTTCAGAGTCGTTTACATACAAAACAGGGAGGGGCCAGGGGACACTCCCCCGCCACCAAAATATTAATTAATTACCAAAAAGAAGGGGGGAAATGAATAGAAAGGAAACCAGGAGAGGAAGCGGGTTAAAATGTTTTTGAGAACTTTTAACTTTTAGAAAATGATAACGAAATTGAATCTTACAAGTCGCTGACTGTACATGGATACACGTGCACATTAAGTGTCTTCGTGACAGAATCTGCTGCGCGCAGTCTCCCAGATCGCCATTATGTATTATGTGGAGGGAAATTTCGAGCTAATTTTCTAGATAGGGCACTATATTCACATTTAATACTTAAGTGCCAGGGATGCGTTTGGCTCTCATGCTGAGAGTCCTCGCCTCTTCTAATCTCCACCGGCAAGTCTACCACAGAACACAGCTTATTTTGTGACACGAAATACCCTGCTCAAAGAGTCAACTCAACTAAGGCTGTCTTTGGCAAAGATACTCCAGGATCACTAAATAAGGAAACTGTAACATCGCTACGTCTTCAATGAGAAATTTATCTCACCTTTGAGGGATCGTAGAGACCGTCCGCCCACAGTATGGCGGTGATGAAGTACGTCAAGGGATACACCACAGCCATCTGAAGCACCGCCCCCCGCAAACGATGCAAGTTGGTACTGCGTGTCAAAGCAACATCACAAAATGTCTTTTATTGCGGTCGATATGGGTGTACTGGGCGTGTCAACGTTCATCTTTCGTTGTTTGAAATTATTCACATAGCTTTCCCTCTGAGAGCATGTTAAAACGTGAAACTCAACGCGGTTGTGCACTTTTTTATATTTTGGGAACTTGGGGAAATGCTTGATAGACCTCTGACAAGAACACCTCAGAATCACACTCTGGTGATTCAGCATCTTGAGCAAATCAGATGTTAAAAAAACATCGCACCATTTAAAAAACTTTTACATGATTGTGGCCCTTTCTGTTCCTCATTTGCTTTTTGTTGCGTCTGACTTCCTCTTGTTTGTCTACACTCCTTAAAATATCTTAAAAGGCACTGTTATTGCTGCTCAAGAAGTTGAGTTTTTCGTATACTGCTCATCTTGGGCAAGTCCTCCGAAAACGGTTAAGTATTTAGTTGAATCAACCAACCATAGTCCGGTTGTCTAGAGTAGCATAAAGACTTGCCCTACATTTTCAAAACACCGTTTTGTTGTCTGTGGAGAAAACTTGTGTTTTTAGGCAATAATCTAATTGACGGAGAACTAGTCGCGGGGGGAGTTACTTTCTACTTACCTCGTCAGCCTAATCTTGCGGCAGCAACAAGGACAGCAGCAAGCGAGTGGCGGCTGCGCCAGACTGATCGTGGTTGTGGCCAACTTAGCTACCATCTCATCCGGCCCTCCGAAGTACGTGAATACCAGCATCAGGAAGATGTAGAGCGAGACTGAGAGATAACTGGGCGAAAATAAAGGTGGTAGTTTGGTAACCTTTGCAATACATCGTGCAAATGTGTACTTTGAAGTTTGTTCACTTTGAATCTCTCGTCCTGCCTGCCTCGCCCTCTGACGTTCTACCGACACGCACCTCCTTGCAAAAGTATTACGCAATAATTATTCAGGGCTTTGTTGAGACATACATGTTCAGGTGTGAAGTCAAAATAAACTTACACACTGGATGCCCAAACACCTACGAGGGTCGCTTTAGGTATGTAGATACCAGTCAATGATGTCAGGCTAAAGACCTACATATCAAAAAGAGTTACATTTACAATGATCAGGTTTGTTAAGAAATGATGAAGCGATGTCCACATTTGGACCGTATAATACTGACCAAAATCAAGCCAAATCAGGCCCGAATCAAAATTGGGCCGAAGGTCCCGATCTTCTATTCGCTGCTCCTGAAAGTTGGTTAATTTGCTTATTTAGGCCGGTCCCAAAGGTCATTCAGTAAAAGTACACCGATACGAAATTGTCTGCTGGGATTGGTCGGTTGTGTCATAGGTCAGACGGTTTCTGCCTGTGAGTCGATTACGGCCCACCGGCCATCTCGGTAGGTTGGTCTTGTTTTCTACCATCAGCAAGAAAGTTACTAAACCAATTTTGCCGGATTTAGCCATATGGCGTCGCAGTGTGATCTCACCGGCGCCAGCCCCAGGATGAATAGGGTGTAGCCTCGCTGTGTGCCGTACTTCATGGTGCGCACCACACTGCACGCCATCTCCACGTAAAGGACGCCTGTCAGGAAACTCAAGGTGGACACGACGATGAGCATAGCCATAGACCAGGGTTCCGACGTGTGCACTGGTACAGAAGGTTAAATTTGTTCATATTAGAAGTTATTAACAGTGACATTATTAACTGCTAAAAAACACGCTGTACCACAAACAGAAACAGTGATTAGAATCAGATGGAATACTTAAAATTATTGCGATCCATTAAATTTAATTGAATAAGACTGATTTAATAAAGACTCTCTGACTTTAAAAACGACATGACCGAAGTTGCATTGAAAGTACAGTCCCAGGGTGACAGACAAACAGTCCCAGGGTACTCGGTTATCGGTCCTTAGAAAATCGGCTTCTACATTTGGCATTTTGGGAAATCCACCTTGACAATTTGCCCTTATGACAGCAAAGAATATGCCTGCCAAACACACAGTCTCATTAGCTCCTTCCTGAAGTTGATTAATAATCTCACCAAAATTAATATTTTCATAAGTAGATATTCAAAGCCAAACAAACAGGTCAAACCAATAAGAAGACTTAAAAATAACATTTCTTTTTGTGGCGAGTCTCGTTATCTACTATCGCTGGACATTGAGCCAGGATACCGTGTTTACATGTAGCAGCTGAGAACGTGAAGTGTGTCGTCTAATTCAAATCAAAACCACTTATATTATGTTTTTTCCGGTTAACTTGATCTACAAATATTAACATAGAATTATGGGATGAAACAAACTTGACAGAAATATTCAAAAGGGGAAATTGTTATGTCTGCAAAGCTCTTTTTTGCGAAAAAAAGAAACCCGACTTCACAATAACGAGCGTAAAGTCCAAATCGTAAACGTTCCTTTGAAGCATCTATGAATAGTTATTTGGAATATAACTTCTATCAGTGTACATCAAGCATATATCAGGCATACTTTCAGGAGTATGGAACTCAGGGTAAAATTGCGTTGTCAATTTTTGTCCAGGCATCTGAACGTTTTTCGGTGCACCCATAATGTAGAACTTCGATCGCATGATTGGACAAAATGTTTATAAATCGCTCTTTGTAATCACGTGCATATAAAAGATGCAAGTTCCCTTTAGAGACTGCGCTGTATCATTCTTTTCAATGGAAAACCTTTCAATTGTACAGGGACCCGACGCTCAGTGATCTTTGGTCATAAATGAAGCAGGGGTGACCGCTGTATTTACCGAAGTTCTTACGACAGGAACCGCACACACACGTAATGCTATGCAATTGCCGTAGAGTACATGTATGTGCAAACACTTTGCATGTGCTCCGTCCTTTAAGCAATCTACTGAATGAACATTAACTGCGCACTTCCCTTTGAGCGACGGTAATTCAAGGGTCATTTAAAGGCGTGCAGTCCTTCTCTGTGAGTTTCGTTCACATGTATATTTATTTTTAACCTCCCATTGTTGTTAGTTTAGCTTTTGTATGGTTCGACGATTCTCTGCCTTAATTAAAGGTAAATATAAAAGAACTTCGTTGGGCGAATGTGAGCTATTTCAAACAAACTTTCACGGCAGCGGGGAGCTCTTATAAGAGCAGGATAAATGTTTAATCCGTGCCCGAGCACAAGAACCCTTTTTGAATGCAATTTGGGCCTAAAAGGGCAAGCTCGTGATTTTATAAAGCTACCGTCGGACAGTGAAAACCAGGACTTGAATTGTAGATGGGAACTAAAGCTGGCACATATATCGTTCGCAAAAGTGCCTACTCGATGAGAGCCACGTTTGCGTTGACAGTAGGGAGCAACATCAGGCCAGGATCCGATACCATTGACGCTATTGAAAATCTCAGGTTTACTTTAAGGGCATCAGACGTGTATCCTCGTTCATACTTACTGAGGAACATCTCTCTTGCGCCTGGCACTCGGAATGAACAGTTCGAGTCCCCGGGAACTGTTGACGTATTTCCGTCCCAAGTAGTCATGTTCAAGGCGCTCGTCCAGTTCTTTTCCATGCCAGCAGTTGTTTTCCCAGTCCTCGTCTAAGGTGTTCTGAATCTTTCGCCGAAACACAAGCTCGCATCAGAGTCCACGGAGATAGCCACCTCTGTGGAGTACCACAGTGACTTGCTGAACCCCGACTGCTACCCAACCGAGTTGTGACCGACTTCCAGTGCCCGTACTGAGTGTAACCCGAGCACAATACCTGTACGAAGTCCCCTATGATGATCTGTTCCGGTCGCATGTAGCTGTCGAGCAGTAGGCCTAACTCCACTAAATTGTAACGACTCACCCACTCAGCATTATAATAACAAGAGATGTATTCACACGCACAAGTTTCCCCAGGCTCCAGAATTCAGTGAGACGGGTCGTAAACACAGCGGCACCATTTTCTCTGAAGCTCTCGAGGGTTGTTAAGAATCCCAAGTACCAGAGAACGGGAGCGTGAGTCATGTTGGTGCAACCAAAAAAAAAAAATAAATAAATAAATAAAACTTATCTGTATCAATTACGTACTGAACCCTGAACTGGTGGTTGCGTTTAAGCACTACAGGCAAGATTGGATCTTTATCGAGAGCTCGATCACCATTCATCGCCTGAAACAAACACAGGTTTATTTGCTGGTAAATTGCTCGTGTTTCATATCTTTGTAATTTTTGTATCGTTCCACAAAACACACAAATGACGTCCGAAACACCTCACAGTGGGCAGTGTATGCAAACGTTTCCCGAATATTTGAGCATCAATAAAATGTTCCGCATTTTTTTTTGCTTACTTGAAGGAAGGTCCCTGTTCCGCCTGCCCCCTCACTGAATATATACGCCGTTAATGCCTTTCCCACCTTCACCCAAAGCGGTGGTAGGTTTTGTGCAAATCTCATCTCGCCGTTCAATCAGGCCGACTTGACCTTAATACAATCCTTCATACTCAACTACAGTAATGCAGTTACGTACGGCACTTCAGATGCAAGCAAATCTTACATGGACAGGTTTTAAAATTGCCGTTGTGCTATCAATTTCATAATTTTGTCACACGAGTCCATTATTTTCAGCCTTCGTTTAACACCCCCGGTAGTTTGCAGCACACAGTTGTCCATTTCTACCGTGCACTTTCAGAGAAGCTAATGCGATGACCACTAACGCGTTTCATCCTTTCGTGGTTGCAACTAAGACAACTTTTATTAGAATTATGTCGGCCGTCCTTTTGTCAAAGAATGTCTAGCTTTGGTGGCGAACAATGCAGGTACACTGACTTGGGGCAATGATATCCCTGAAGGCTGAAGAGTTTCGCCACGTCTTTTGTCCGTCTCCCTCACTCGCGAGAGGCGGTAGATGGAGGGCCGGGGCAAGCCTGCCGAACGTAAAGTGTTAGCGATTTCAATTGCTGTTCAAATGGCCAGTTTGCCGTCATGGAAAGTCCTCCATCAGTCCACTACTGACTGATATATACGCTACTAGCTGCCAACCTTGTTTGCAATACAAGTAACGAGCGTGTAATCGGTTCGGAATGGATCACATTCGCATTTGACTTGTCACGCATCAAGAAAACGATTTATCCCACTTGGGAGCAATTAGTGGTACGACCTATGCCTGTGATCAGACCGGATGGGTGTGCAGGTCGGTGAACAGTTGGTAGATGGTACAGGTTGGGTTTTCGATTACTGTACAGTGGCGAAAGGTTTGGTATTCAAATAAACAATAAATCACACGACGTAGACACTAAAACGCTACGTCTGTTAATGACTTTTACTGCGTGGTGTAATACCACAAACCATAGGCTTTTTAGACTGGTTCCCGTCTGTACGTTGTTTCCAAAAGTCTTATAAAAATTATACAGACGTCCTCATCAAAACATAGGGATCGGTAGCGGGTAATGAATCTAGCAAAATCTTGTGGGATGTATGTAAATGAGGAAACGATGCCAGCACAATTAAATGCACAAATCAAGCAGGAGATGATGGCATATATTGCTTTCTCTTCTTCGTTACCGAATTCAACTTCACGATAAATTGTCAATTTATCTTAAATTTAACACAATAACCACTGATTTCAATTTCGCCTCCCCGCTGAAACGTATCATCATGTTGAATTGCCGATTATTTTCATGTTGCTGTTGGCCAGACAAATACGTATTCAGCATCCAAATCGACGTTAAACGACCTTCGGTGCTTATATAATAGGGATGGGGACCAGTCCGTAGGCTAAGAATTCACGACAGATCGCTGATTTCAGTACATATGCTACATGAAATACAGGCTTTGAAATACGCACCCGAGGCGTGTGCAATTTTCACTAGCAGATTGTCGGCTACCATTTTTTAAATGAGCTGCTTTTGTTTGTAACTACGCTGAATTCAACGATCTCCAATGCAGCAACTTCATGCGGTTACAGTGCATTTGTAATAAAAACCCGGTTAGGTGGGTAGCCATGCACATGTATTTGTTGACATGTCGAACAATAATGTGGAATTGACGTTGCATATGATAGGCCATCATTCGGCAATTATACGTGCATCATTGTGCAGCCTTTAATATTTCATCGGATTAAGATGGACTCGTTAAAGGCTTCAGTTACGAAACTCCGTCAACACAATCGACCGCATGCCACCGATGCTTTGAATAACTGAGGCTACACGTGCACTATAGGCTGGGGCACAGCCGTTGATCTTTATGAATAGGAATCTGGATAGACCATTGGACGTTATATGAAGGTGAAATCCTGTTCCTCCGTGTTGCCCTTCGCTGGTTTAGAAAGACTTTTTTTAATGATGAGAGTGGTAGGAAAAGCTCCATCTGTACGTATTAATGTAGGGTTTCGGAACGAGCGCTTAGTTTAATCCTTAAATGCAGCTTGAAGTTAAGGAGCTATCCGACGGGTTTCTTACGTGCATATCTAAGAGAAAAGCTTAGCGGAGATAAGGGGAACCAGACCAGAATGGAACTTGTTAGATTTACACGTCACATTATCGTGACATCATCCGGCAGGCGTGGATCTAGGGGGCGGAGTCGACACCTCCCCCAGCTCTGAGACAAAAAAGCAAACAATCGGGAAAAATAATTTTAAAAAACAAATGAAGTAACCACACCAAGACAATTGTGAACAATGGTTGCCATGTATAATGTTTCAGGATCGTTTCCGCTAGTCCAAAAAATGAGACATAAAGAAAAATTTCCGGCCTGACCCCCTCCCTGAAAAAAATTCCTAGATCCCCCCTGCATGATGACCTTGCCGATTACAAAACACTGTGGGATTTGGAATCCAGATTTAAAAAATATTTGTATAACAGATTGAAAGCTAGATCAGGCGCTATAATGGCAAGTCACATGGTATAACATGGACATGTTATCGGCACTTGCCCGGGTGTTCATTGAAAGAAAACATTACAAACAGCATCAAATCCAACGTTTTGGTTTTATGTATGAGGAATAGTGTGAAAGTGCAATGATTTTTAAATTTTAGTTGTTGTTTGGAAGCAGACTGTTAACCCTAAAACTCCTCAGTCCTCCAACAGGTGAAGGATTGAGGAGGGTTAGGGTTAATTTTGTGGCTTCATAGGCCTAATGTTGTTAACTATACCGTTAAAAAACTCAAATTACCCATGTGAAAGATTTTTAAAAGCATAATAAAGTTTTTGTTGTCACAATGGGGATACGTTTTTAAGGTAAAATTTTGATTGAGTACAACTTCATTGTATTGGGATTTTCAGAATGTGATTTGGAACACATCACATTATCAAATGCCATTAAGCGCAATGCGGGTCACTCCAGGTTCTTTGCTTTCAAAACGCTCCGTCCTAAAACCGCGATTTAAATCTGAGTAGCAGCTTTGTCTAAAATGTTGCATTTTGCTTTTATGAAATATGAAACAAGGTATGCGAAGGACGTTGCAGACGCCATTAAAGGTGCGATAATATCCAAACTGCCCGTTTTCAATGCATCTGTGTCTGAATGTTTCCCACCTGATCAGTTGTCCAGACTTAGTGCCTCTTACGTGCGAATTTCGGCACACCGAATTGGCAATTATTTACCTACTTTGCCGGCGTACCTCTGTCGTAACGTTGTTACCAAGTAAGATAATATCGCTTGGGCAAACGCACCAGTGCTAAAGGTCGCTGCCGGTATATGTGGAAACGAAGAGCGACAAATTATGTCCGCTCGTAAACTGTGAAATTAAACCTCCCAGTAGTACCGAGGAACTTTGCTTTGCTAGCCTGGGACTGAGCCATCCTCGTGTGTCACCAACAGTGAAGATGGTTATATGACGCGGCCCCAGGCTTGAATCGTGTTTCCAAATTACATCTGTACCAAGTACCGTTTATATTTGCCCTTTCCCGAAGAGGTCGATGATCGTCGTGAGTGTTGTTTTCGCCGACGAGACGGCCAGCTTGGTGAAATCGCTGTTAGACTCGACAGCCGATTTGGAGGCACTGAAACCGTGTGCCACTTGCCAAGATTTTCATGGGACTCTTTGTTATTTAAGGGTAATTCTTGCAGTTTGACTCTTACGTCAAAAATACCTGTAACCAGTCTCTTTTTGCATGTGAACGAACTGGATGCATCCATTGCGAGTCAACAGCGTTTGTCATCGTTAAACTCCGGTCGTAATGTTCTTGTCTTCTTCAAGGGTTGTAGGAAAAGAAACCTATGTTGAGTTTATACTTCATGAAGTCCCCTGGCTTACGTCACGGGTACTGAAAAAGAAGCAACTTTGGTTTAACGGTACCAGTGTCAACAAGAAGTGTATGAGTGTTGGGGTGAAATCGACGCTGTCTGACGTTTCTTTCAGCTTAATTATGAATTCATCTGAATTACGTGAAGTGGATTGGACTAATAATCAGGTAAAGTAAATTTCTTCGGAAATTCAGATTCTGACTTTTCTCTTCAACGAAGTCAGAGTGTTAAAATGTGGATTAAAACCTTCTTGGGACAGCAAGAAAGACTTCGACCATTTCAAACGGCTACATCAAAAGTGACGATTATTTGTTTAGATGATTGGACTCTGACTGGAAATCTGTCGCTGTGGTTTATGAAACCGAACCTTCACTGAATAGAGAACTTCCCATCGGTACTCTAAGAACCATGGCCGTATTCCTGAAGTCTGTCTGTGTTGCATCCACTCTTATTTCTTTGGCCGTCTCCCTCCATATTCCGGCGGACATTTCCAGGAATGCTCAAGGCGTCCTGACCGATGATGACGACGTCTTCTTCCAGGATGGAGACATTATCTTGGGCGGGGTCTTCCCCTTGCACAACTTCCATCCGGTGGCGCGGCAGTGCACCACCGTCCGCGAGGTGCGGGCCCTGAAGCTGGTGGAGGCTATGGTGTACGCCGTGGGCCGGATCAACAACAGCACTGGCCTGCTGCCGGGCCTGCAGCTGGGCTTCGAGATCTATGACTCGTGCTACAGTGACATCTGGACCCTGAAGAAGGCGCTGAACTTCCTCCCGCCCGACCAGAAGCCAGCGTGCAAGGGGGTGTGGGAAGGATCGGAGCAGTCCGGCAACTCAGATCTGACTTGCCTGCACCAGAAAAGAGTAGCCGGGGTCGTAGGGTCACAGAAAAGTGCCAGTAGCATCGAGCTTGCATTACTGCTGGGATTGTATCAAATACCCCAGGTAAGATCCTAATACAGTAATGAAAACGTGAGACATGAGAAGTGATTTAAGCAGAGAATGGCACACGCTTGATAATAACCCCTGAGGCTTTTTACGTCTCATAAAGGCAGGTAAATTATGGTTGGCTGTCACTGATGGGGAAAATGTACCTATTGTGGCAAAACCTTACACCAACTAAGGGTGATATCTCCACAATCGTTGGGGGCGCATGTAAATAGAGGTCACAATGAGGTAAAAGATGACATTATCAATTCAAAAGGCGTTCAACAGCACCTTCAGACACAAAAAGTGTCATAGTGTACGTGCACAATTATGTTGATGTTTTTGCTATTAGGACTGAAGGAAAAGATTTGCTTCACGATTTAGTTCTGCACGTGTTTTGTTGAACATTATACAGCCATTATTTCCCTACCCAAGAGAAATAGCTATAAAAATGTACCATCTTGTTGAAACGCACGGTTGTAGCATTATGCAACTCTGAAACATTTGCTGATTTCAAAAAAGAAATGATTCACTACCTTGTCGATGGCAAATGCTGTTGAGTTAAAACAATGCGGTTACCGACTTTACCGTTTAGGTGAGCTACCTCTCAACCTTGGACAGCCTCAGTGAGGTGAACTATCCTTACTTCCTTCGCGTGGTCCCCTCAGATAAACACCAGGTAAGCGGAGAAACACTGCAGAAACAAACACGGCTAACTCCCACTGGCGTCTAGCCTAGGCCTCTAAAAGGTCAGTCGAAATTGAATAGAAAACAATGTCCTTAATTGACCGATGTAAAAAGGTCCACATTAAATGACAGAAATTCCTGGTTTTAGAACAAAGGAATGTTTAAACATGTCCGTGATTGATATCAAAATAATTCCTCCAACTGGCAATTATAGCTCTGCTTCCCCAGCTAGTTGTTTTTATTTCTCCAGCAGCAGCTTACAGAAATGATGATTTTGGGCGATGAAACACACGAAAAATCAAACCATCTACTCACGCCAGGAATGTGCATCGTGACTATGACAACTAAATAACCATTCAGTAATATAGGAAAAGCGATAAACTTAAAAGAGAAGGAATTTAATATACCCGTCTGTCGAACTTTTACAAATTGACGGTAATTAATTGCATTCCGCTGTCACCAGGTAAACGCCATCATGGATTTGGTCAAGTACTACGGATGGACCTACGTATCGCTTCTGTTTTCCGACGACGAGTACGGTGAGAATGGTTTCTACGAGTTTTCGCGCCAGGCCCCTAGTCACGACGTCTGCCTGGCCTATACTAAGGAGATATCTACCAGTTTTTCGAACGAGTAAGATACATTTCCAGCTGACAATCTTTATTAAGTCCGAGTCGGTTGTTCACATTGAGCGCCCTTAAATGCATTGCCACGATCTAGCAATGTGCGTCCTTCAATTTGTCTTTTACTTGGCTAACAATGAAATGTGGATGAATTAAATGAATCTCCTCTTCTTATTGTTATTACTCAAATTCATCCAGGGAAGTTTATTTGCCAAAACAGTGGTTTTCCGTAAGACCTGTCATACCAAGTAAAGAAAATCAACTTGAAAAGCTACATTAAAATGTATGAACTTTAAAAAATAAAACACATGTAGTACAATATTAAGATTTTAAAAGATTACCACGGAATAAAAATAAACAGGAAACGGAAAAAATTATAAAAACACAAGCAACACATATAGGTAACACAACACTCAGTAGCAAAGTACTACAGTAAAAATATAAAACATAATAAATATAAAAAATAAAGATATATACAAAAACCCCAAAATCTCTCTCTCTCTCTCTCTCTCTCTAAGGCTCAGGTTGGTGCCAACCCAAACTATATTGAATACATTTGCACTCCATGAAGCTCAGCATCAACCTGTTTAAGATGCATTAACCTATGTTTGCCTATGCATTCTCAATCAGAGTTAAAACAAATGAAAGTTGATTTATATCAAAAAATTACGGTTAACGTTGCTTGCATTTGATGTTGCTTGAAGGAATGCCACACGCGCCACACCTTGCATCTTGTGTGAGACAAATGAAATTTAGCATTCGTTTCTATCTCTTATTCCTTTGTTTGTTTTTTTAATTCATTGGAGTAACACTATAGGCCTCGAGCTGGACCAAAAGAGGGCAAATTGTCCAAGCAACAGAGGCCCCTTTGGTAGTAACTGCACGTCGCTGGTTCACGAATGACTATGAATCGCAAACGTTGTTGCAGTCGCATCACTACCAACAAAATTAACGCCCCGGCCATTATTGCTTTTTTCAACCGATGAGGGCGGGCTTCTATTCAAGGGGATAGGACAACGTATTTCTAAGGGTGCACNAAGACCTTTATGTTTTATCATGCATGGCAGGTATTATGATGACCTTGTTGCGGAACTGCGGCGCGAGCCGTTCAATCGAGCTGTGGCAGTGGTCCTGTTTGCCCATCTTATTGAGGCCAGGATGCTGCTGGAGGCGGTGGAGAGGAACGGGGCAGTGGGAGAGTTCACCTTCATCGCCAGCGACGGCATCGGGAACTCTGGCCTGCAGGGGCTGGACGGAGTGGAAAACCCAGCTCTAGGTGCGTGGTGATCAGACCCTGACATCAAGACCCGCTTATGAACCCAGCAGCCCACGGCTTTTCAGCGCTCTTCATTTCTGGGTTTAAGATTTACCTTGGGGCGTGAAAGTACCATGTTCGGGACCAGTCGAAGAGGATCCCTGTTATCAACATGAAAACTGTTGTCATCCGTGTACCAAGCCGATGACCTAACCCTTAACCTATCGGCATGGCTATATACGTGCAAGCTTCCCTAAAGACTAATTAACGTCAAATTGTTACCTCCCCCCAAAAAAATTTATGGTCCAAACTTAACAGAATGGTTCTCCCCTTAAAGGTAAATACCTTTGAAAGTATTTTGGCACGGTGTATGTCAAATGCAACCACCGATGTTTTTCATATCCAAAGATAGTGTCCATTATCTTGAGGGCGCCAAACTGAGTAACACATGTACAATTACTTTGAGCTTGTTCTGCTCCTTTTAATACACACAAATTCAAGGCTCACTCTGTGGAACCTGATAAAAATTACCTATAAGCAACATTTTCAAAGTGATCCCCTCTCGAAAAAAAAATTCCCCTATGCTGTTTTTTACAGTCCGACACAGCTGGATATAAAGGGTACTTCGTCAAGTATTCACGATGAAGTGTTATGCGACATTTTTTTCTACTTCTGAAACGTTACCAATAACAATCGCTTTCTCCTCTTGCTAGGGATGATCACCATGGTCCCTTTTTCGCAGACCCTATCCGAGTTCTTCGGTTTTTTCATTGGAAGTTTGCCGTCAAATAGCAGCAATCCCTGGACCCAAGAGTACGTGGAGAAATACAAGCTGTGTGATTTTTTGGCTGGCACCGTGTGCACAGCCAACGAAACCGACTCGATATCACCCCACGAAACCCTGGTCATCGACAGTGTCTACGCGTTTGCCTATGCCTTGGACAGCATGCTAACAGCAGAATGCGGTGACACGGATTGGGGCGGCTGTGCAGCAGTGGAGGCTATCGACGGGGAAGTGCTCCTGTCATACTTGAAGAAGACCGACTTTGAGAGTTTGTCGAACGGCCGAGTGACGTTCGACGACAATGGTGACGGCAACCCCAGGTATAAGATACGGAACCTTAAACACGACTTGTTTGAATCGCTGAAGTTTTTGGATGTGGGATCTTGGCGAGAGGAAAACAACGCAATAGACATTGTGGGAGAAGTTAAGTTTTACACCAAGAGCACTGATGGGTTGGCTGGCCAGGTGCCGACCTCGGTATGTAGTGCCCCCTGCCCGCTTGGCTCCAGGAAAACTTTCTTTGAGAATTACGGGAAGTGTTGCTGGCTCTGCCAGAAGTGCAACGTCAATGCCACCGTCATCAACGACGACACCGAGTGTCGCGAGTGCATCCCTCCGAAGTGGCCCGACGTAAACCGTACTGAATGCGTCGAGGTCGCCGAGTCCTACATGTCCTGGGGCACGGTCGAAGGAACGGTCATCGGCATCGTGGCGTTCGTGGCGCTCCTAGAAGCCCTGTTGATAATCGTTCTGTACTTCCCCCAGTTCAGGCGACGTATCATCCGAAGGTCTGACCCCATGCTCAGCTTGTTTATCCACGGCGGGGTGTGTCTCCTGCTCGTGGCTGCTCTCTCGACCACGTTTAAGCCTTCCTCCGCTATGTGCGTGCTGACCCGCATCGGTCCCTCCGTCGCCTACGCTTTCATCTTCGTCCCGTTTGCACTGAAGAGTGTTCGGCTGTACCGAGTGTTCATCAAAGCGAGGGATACGGACTCGGAGGAAGAAGCAGATCTTTGGGGCGTCAAGAGACAGCTGACAATCTTGATCCTTATCTGGATCGTGGAGGTAGGTTTTGGGTTCGTTCTCTGCACTATATGAAATGGAGGAAGGACACGAGTTACAACTCTGGCACATCAAAGCGCTTGTTGATCATCGCCACCCGGTCAGACAAATAGTGAACATTCCAAAAAGCCTGGTAACTGCCTGCAGCTTAGCGAGACAAGTGAAGTTAGTAGTATCGTTGCAACGTTTGTGGTGTTTTCTTTAAACTTATTGCAGCGACCAGGAAATAGAAAGAACAAATATCTAACATTAGATCTACTCTACACCCTCGTGAATATTATTTTTAAGATTTTAATGCAATCTTTGTAATTTTATTTCGTCACTCCAAAACATCAGTTTTCAAAGTCTTTGCACAGTTGGCTAATACTGGCCAGCAACATGTTGTGCACCACAGGACAGTTAAGTTCATAACAAACAAAATGCGCTATTTCATCACAAGGAGTGACCATGAGATCTCATTGGGGAAGATTGTTTTTGCGCAGTACATCGTTTGCGCACGCATGCGAGAAAACAGAACAGTGGAACATTAGAAAGTGTTTGTAAATGTACGGGGCTTACGTCTTGACGCAAAAGTAGGGTACCACTGGTATCAAGGTTCATCGGCATTACGCCGCTGCCCGGGATTGCTGAGCGTAGCTTTGGTCAGCGTGCGTGACGCAAGTTTGAATTTGTGCCAGAAATATAAGAGTTTAATCTGATAGCCATTTTTGTCCCCAACTGTTTACAGATTGGTGTTAGTCTATCTTGGATCTTCGTGTACCCACCGATGGAAACATATATATTTGTGCCGTTAGATCAGCCGCAAGAGGGCGCTCTTGCCGTCAGCCTCTTTGTCGCCTGCAACTTCCAGCTTCCCGAGACCATCACGGAGTTGTGCTTCAGCTTCGTTTTCCTGCTGTTGGCTGCCACACTGAGCCTACTGGCCCGTGCCCTGCCGGACAACTACCACGAGGCCCGTTTCTGCGTGTTCACCTCGGCCGGCTCGCTGCTCGTGTTCACCGGGGCGTACGCGGCCGGGTTTGGTACCACCCAGTCAGGGCTCTCCTTCGTCCCCATTATGTACCGGGCCCTGGGCATGATCGTGACGTCTATCCTCATCATGACCTGTCTTTTTGCTCCCAAAATGTACGTCGTATACTTCGTCCGTGGCAACATCGACGAGGTCATGCTGAAGAAGCGCCAGAGCGTGGCCAACATGGCGGTGTACCGCGCCCGAGCGTCGACAGTGGGCAGTGTACCAACCATGAATGGGGGACCAGCGGGAAGGCGTCGGAGTCGAGCCAAGAGTGTCAGAAGTAGCAGTGAAGTGCCATCTTCGTCTGGGGACCATGGGATTGAACTGAAGGCTATTTCCACGTCTGTCATTTGATGGAGAATCTGAAGATTTGAAGATTCACATGTTAACTCTGTCGGTTGTTTTAGTATACGATCTAGAAATTTCATGTGCAATTTAATAAAAATGTGATTCATGCAACTGCTAGAGAAAATCAGCTGCCAAAAAGTCAGGACTAAAACCTTAATGTACCAGTAGTAAATCAGTTTGATCGTGTAATCATTTATAGCTTATAACATTGACTGTCATAGTTTTCAAGCAAACTTTACACAGCCTCTGATATTAAGTTTGGGGAATCTCTAGATGTTTGGAAGTTTGATCTTTTACGTGTACAACAAATTTGCTAGTGTATTGCTCCAATACTCCCGTTGGTAAGCTTTATGTGTATTTTGTCAGTATTATCGACGTTACCAGACTAATAAACAATAAAAAAAACTGTGAAAGGATTTTTCACACACTCTACCACAACGATAATTATAGACTAATCTGAGAAAACCCGAGAGGGCTATGGTGAATTTCGCCACCCTTACGTCACAAACGCAGCTTTGGCACAGTATTGGCAAAACTGTAGCTGGCCGCAAGTACAAGGCCAAAAGATTAAGTCACAAAATGTTGTTTCAAAATCTCATTTTCGAACAATGTGTGGCTGCCCCAGGCACACATTTGCCTTGAGGAGTTTCGAACTCTCATTACTCTAGAATATGTCTCAAACTTATGAGGCCCAAATGATTCCTCGTTTATAACCTAGTGGACTATCCTACACAAAGTCTTGGTCTCGTGAAACTGCTTTGGTGATGTGTGCTTGCTCGCTGTGATTGAGATAACAATCTGCAATTTAATGAAGCACAAAAACACTAATAAGAAAACTGCAATACATAGCAAACTGTAACAGTTAACTTGGCAAGCTGAGTCATAAAACTAATATTTAAACTCTAATGACTAATTTATAAACTGTCATGACTGTTATAGTTTCACGGCTTGAGGTGCCAACAATCAAGAAAAAACCAAAGGTATCTGAATAATTCGAAACTTGAGTAGCCGGAACTGTCCTTAATCCTCTGAATCTCTGGCATTCAGTTTAAACTACTTCTGCATAAACACTATGGCATAACATGAACAGCACATTGTGGGTCATTATGTACAAGTATAGTCAGGGATCTCTGAATGATTATCCTCTCGAAGATACAAAGAAATCTCGGGAAATATGAACAGATAACATAAGCTGTCTTATCCAAAGTGCTCAAAAAATATAAAAGAAAATACTGCCTACCAAAATGGGGGTTTCTTGGGTTCTACAAGAAGGAACAAACGGAAAATTACTTGGATTGACTTGGTGAGTTACAAATGTGGAAAATTTCTTGATGACAGTATGGCATAAATGATGGCTGCCTATGCAACTTCAAACTCACAGTGCATGCACCAGCGCATCCACTCACACATAGTGACTCTAGGAAGGAGGTTGACAGGCTCTTTCACTTAGTAAAAACGAAAGGTTTGCAATATCCTCTTTCAAGAAATAATTTAAGTCTTAATCAGGATTCTGTAGAATACCTATCTAAACGTTTTTGATGATAAACATGAGCATATTAAAACAAAGCAAATTATTCACTGCACAGGCGGCTACAGTGACACAATGATTAATACTTCTACTAATTAACTAAATGGAAATGCATATAGAAAACATGGCGATGAATGTTAGCAATCAAAAGAAAGATCCATTGGTCAAGGGGAAGTACGACTTCCGGGAAAGCGTGGCATCATCGTAGCTTCTCATTTTGGCCACCGGATTAGTCTCATGCTAATTCACCCAGGCCCTACTGAGTTGGATAATCGCAACAACATCTTAAGCCAGATTACTTCAGGCTACCAGAATGTCTTATTAACTTGTAGTAATAATCACAGCATATTGGGTTTTACATCTGAACTGTCAACTTTAATTTTTAACATTACATTATGAATACAAAATAATAGAACGTCTTTAACTTTTTCCCCCGTTTTACCGAGTTTTGTCCTTCAGTGATATAATATATACCCACGAAATCTTTCGACCCTTTCCAAACGTGCGCTGGGTCGACAGGTTTTGTGCATCGTGATTCGCCAACGCCTTGAAAACTCTTGGAGGCACACTGTTGTGAACTGCCCGTATTGATATTGTATTGTATTGTTTCCAATATAATGTGCTGAATTAATTAGCTCTGAAAGTATACGTTGCTGCGAAGGGAAATGTGTAAGATTAACAACCCTGGCACAAGGAGATTTTTTTTTTCATCCCGGTTTGTCTGTTGGTCAGGCTGATTGTCTGGGCACAGGATATTTATTTCAAAAAGTTGATGGTGAATAAATGTTGTGGAATGGTGGCTCATAATCCCAGGATCGACTGATTTATTTTGCAACTGACGTCATGAAGATGTGTAGATGCAACGACAATTTTTTCCGGCTCATACATGTATTAGCATACAATAGGCACACACGAGCTCTGCAAGTGAAGGATTCGTTGAACTGTAGAACGGGAAGACACGCATCCATTGCACAGTCTTACAGGAAGGACTGATGCACAAAACTAAGAGACAGGATGTTATCTCGCGTCAGAATACTGAGCAGATCAAGGAATTTTTGCAACTTTCGTGTTTGTGTTGGGCTGATGACGTAATGGGGATAAAGGCACAACAAACATGCATAAAACATGCGTGAAGATACATGTAAACTGGCATCATTGCGACCCAAATGCATTAAAACGAGGAGTTTTGATGACGTCTGGAAAATCACAATATTATACATTAATTTCTTAGATGAAAAAACCTAAAATCGTACTCTATGGCCAAAAAAGTCTCCGGGTTCTGGTCAGGTGCTGGCTCCAAATGTGGTGGGGCGACGCGGTATTTTTTCAACCCTCACTTTGTTTCTGGAAATGATGTACGTATAACGTTACGACTGCATGCCTGCGTAACGTCGGCTGACACCAACATTAAAATAAACTGGCCCCTGCACTTTTACCGTTTAAAAGCATTGTACGTGTACAAAAGACATAAGACCACCTCGTATACCCAGCAAGAAATGAAACCGAGGGGTACCCCCCCAACATGTCCAATCCCTATACACATTCCAGTTTTGATACAATGCCAATTTGTACAAAGTTGCAAAGAAGTAGCAAATCACTGAAATATATATCCAACAAATATAACAAAGATAAGAAACAGTGTACTTTAGTAATTACAGCCATTGTTTTGCAGTAAAAGATGAAAATCAAGGTGATCTTGTTGATGACCTACCATTGTCTTTAATTTGAAGTTTATCAACATGTGATTCTACACAAGATTTATCCCACAGACATGTTCTTTTGCAGTGAGCTACAATACACATTGTTAACTGCTATATTTGTATCACTCTGTTGGAGTACATGTAAAATATTAAGGTGCTGGTTAAGTGGTGTTAGTACAGTATGGACATGATCGATTTCCTACTACTGCGTTCTATTTTCCAGTTTTTTTTAAAGTTATGTGTTCCTTAGAGAGTTTCACTGCATTCTCTGCAGCATTGACTCATAGAATTATAGTGATATATTCTGAATTATGATTTTGTACTAAAAGTTGTTCAGATTTCAAATTATACGGTACTTAATAAAAACCATGATCAAGTTAAATGTCCTGCTGTCTATAGTTTTATTTGAAATTCAAACTCTTTGTATATCTTCAATTTCCAGGTACTGTGTAACACTAAAGCAAAACAATTCCCCAAGAACCAGTATAGATGAGATGACACCAGTGTTATCTAACACCATATTTCTTGCCCAAAATAAACACCATTTGGGAATTACTTCACTCTCGTATTTGTTATTGAGGTCAAACACAAAAAAATTGGTGTTATTAAGCACCAAAAGCCTTGCCCAAAATAAATACCGTTTAATTATAAAATTCCACATCATCGGTGTTATTGTTAACACTGGAGTTTTGCAGTGTAAGGAAATTTCTTTCTTGATGTGTTTACTCAAACTTATGCAATTGAAAGCTTGTCTATGACTGGCAGAGATTTCAATACTTGGTCTTCTTTGAGTAGCAATGGTCTATGCAACTACATTGCAAGACTAGGTGCACAGAGATATTGAATTCTTTATTTGATGAATATAAATAGGGAACATTCTGGGGTCATTTTGGTCACTACGTGAGATATATTTTTCAAGGAAGAAATGTGAAAGGACTCTGAGAGATGATTATGCTTATTATGATTACGCGAAAACGATCTTAATTCTAAGCTTAGTGCCAACAAAACAAAAGATACGCCGCTTTGGGGCAAGTTTCAGGATTTTAATGTAACTTTACATAAAATTCTTGATTTCAAAACCAATGGATAAAGCTCAAGAATAAAAGAGGCAGGGCAAGGTGAAAAAGTACAACAAATCTTTTTTAATTTTGAAAAGCGTTCTTGTGAATTAAATTGACTGTCTGATATTCCAAATAATTTCCAATGATAATGCTGAAATTCTATCAGCAATCCATACTTTTTGTTAGTATTTTGTATTCTAATCATTTGTGCAATTGACTTTGAAAGGTTTCTCAACGATTTTGATGTCCGCACAAGGTTTCTGTTCTCGAGTTTTCCGTGAGGAGCCTAACTAAACGTGAACTACATCCACCTCTGGTTTCAATGAAACACAGGATAATCTTCCGGTTTGATGGCCTTCAAGTCACGTTCTTTTTGGCTTTTTGCGAGAACTTAGTAATTTACTATTTAATTCATTAAATTATTTTCTAATAACTTGACACAATCTCAAAGATCAGCCGCGCGTCATTTTATTGCTTCACAAGAAAGACAGATGATTTACTTAATGATTAATGATTTTGGACCTATTTCTTTCTCTGAGGTTGATTATAAATGTAATGCAAAACTTAAGCTAACCTATTAAATTTTGGTCTCATTGATGTTATTCACCCAGATCGATCAGCATTACTCAAAGGGAAGACACACTGATGATAACATTAGACTTATTTTCTTTTCCCTGGCGTTGTACTTTTATTGAGAGGCTTTTCACCCTAAAAAAGTAGACGGCGCAAACCGCCTCGCCACTCAATATTTTCCCTAGTATCGCTGCAGTGTATTATTTACAAGCCAATTAAGTGCCCTGTGTGTGTGTGTTTTTTTTTTGGGGGGGGGGGTTATTAACACCTTAAGGTCCTTTTGACACCCAATTTTGTGAAAATCGCTTGATCCGTTGGCATGCAACACGCCCGTACTTGCCGTCAGCCATAAATGTGTGTACTTTCCACGAACTGCTCAGTGCACACAAGCCGACATGCTCGAGTCTGTAAACTTCAAGTGCCGTTTCAAAACTCAATGAAAGTTCAAAGATCGGGCATATGACTCACAAATTGCTATGGGGTAGGGGGAATCTCCACCCCCCACCCCCAGCTATGAGATGGTGCGTAAAACCCGACTCTTTGGGGGGTTTATTGTGTTGGTCATATCATTCTTTTAATGACTTGCCTGGCACAAGCTTTAATTTCAAGGTTTTGCTATCTGTAGAGGCCTAGTGAATTGAATCAAACATTCCTGACATTTTTCGTGCACACATTAAGGTAACCTTAAGTGTTTCCTCCTTGGAATGGCATTGCAGTTTTTGTCACAAATATGGAAATTCAAAAGTAGCATATAAGCTGGAAACACAAAAATTGAATTTTTAAAAATAAATGAGGTTAATGGAATAAAAAGGTGAATTTTCCAGGACTGAAATAAAACAATCGCAAGACCCTTTAAGAATCTGCAATTAATCTATAATATCTCACTCGCATTTCAGAATAAAAAATTAACAATTAAAATTAATTCGAATTAGCTTTCATTATTTTCTACCAAATTCCTTGCATTAATTAATTGCATTATTTGAATCGGAGAACAAGCCACTATATTTCTCTCTATCCTCGCGCCCTATGAGAGCTAGTTTGCTGTCCTGTCCAAAAAGGAAGTGCTTGTCGAGGTCCGGCGTGTAGCGGGAGGCCGGTGGCTTGCGGCCGAGACTCTCGGCCAGGCTTCGGGTGAGGTGAGCTGAGTTGCCGCAACACAGACCCACGTACTTGATGCCCAGTTCCTGGATTCGTTTGCCGAAGTTGTAGATTTCCTTACGGTTACACTGGGTACTGTCCAAATTCTCTGGGAACAGAGGCTCGCCTATTTTTTATTCAGAAAGGAAAACCACATTTCATTTTCATGCGAACGTTGGCGCTACGCTACACTACAAACCTCACTTAATATCACCTCACCTTGCGTTGCCAACATTCTGTCGTGGGTAATTGATATGAGATGATGTCATGCTGTTTTGATGCTTCGAGAGAGACAGCAGATACTGGCGCCTGGTACATTAACAGTAATGCTTAAAATGTGCCAATGAGTGTCTTTATTCACATAAAACAAATAATGAAGTCTTTTTGAAGGGTACTGACTGAGGGATGCGAACCAACGATCTCCCGCTCACCAAAACAAACTTTTTTCCCACTAGACCACTGAGTTATAGTTTTGGTGCACCGTAGTTAACGGCCTATGCAAAGTCAATACCTTGTCAGTATGACAAACAAGAGGAAGTTATCATCATGACCAGGGCCCAACTCATCGGTTATTTTAAGTAAATAATCTTGTCCTCTGCCCTATGCGTCTCCAGAATATCTTGACAATATGACAGACGGAACCTGTTCTCACCTACTAACAAGAGCATCACTTATGGCTGCAGTGAGCAGAGCCAACTCGAATGTTTTGAGTGTGGTTGCAGACTAGATAAAAAAAAGGCACCACATTGCCCGCAAGGACCAAATAACAATTTGCTTAGCCTCAATTTATCTGCTATTAGAGCATTTGGTGACCGAAGACAAGAGGGTTTGTAAAAAATAACTTTGAAGCTATGTATCTAATAAATTTGTACAAAACGAAACCCCCCAAAATAACCCTTTTTTGCAGATAGAGTGTAAGCATCAATTTTCAAAATTCCAATGGGCTTACGACTTCCGGGAGGGTCGTCTTATGGGGGGGTATCTTCATAAGTAATTCATTAAGCAAAAAACAGTTAAGAGGGAATTTAATTGAAGATTAAAAAAAGGGTTGTCTTTACATGTATCGAATATCTGAGAGCTTGTTGTATCAGGTAGTTTTCCGTTTTTATGGAGATAGACTGTTGACGATGGCAACTTATTTTCTATTGTGCTACCTGATGCAACATTATTCGGGCGCGGCCATACTACTTACCAGAAACTGGGTCCTTGATGTCGAAGAAAACTGGGTATTCATCAGTGGTGTGGTATGTCACAGGCAGGGCTGCAATTGGTGCCTGGGTGTAAAAATCGTGATAAACCAAAATAACCGACCACTCACAAAGCACCACTCCGTTACATTGCTTTGTCACGTCGCGTTGCAACCGCAAAGATGGTCACTCTCATATTACTGAAATAATGCGCCTGCGCAGTCTGCCATCCTTGCAATTGTTTACTGAAGTCGAGGACCAACAGAATGTGTCCTCTTATTTGTCAAAATGGAATATATTGATTCCCCTCATATAACCCAAGAGGGGAAGTTTCGTATTCTTCGCTTCGTGTACAGATTATGGTAACTCACGCTCGGGAGTTTGGCGAGTAATGTGACGTGAAAGCTACATTTACCTTGCAATTTTTGACTGCTTCTTCCAGAATTGGCAGCATGGTCTGTGGGCCCCTCGCGCAGTTAAGCCCCACCACGTCAGCTCCCGCGTCCGCCAAGCGGTTCAGAGCCTCGCACACTTCTACGCCGTCATTGGTAGCAGGCTTGCCGTTGACAGTCATCAAACAGATTCCGAGGGTCACGACGCACGGGAGACCTGTGGCATGGCCAGGATTCAAATAGACGGAAGGTGCCATTGCACGAAAGCGCTTAATATAACTAACATCATAATAGTCATACCAAACATAAAGTCAACAGTCAACAAAGTACTCAGCCTGCATGATGTGCTGGGAGAGCTGTACAGAAAATCGGCTGGATATTTTTGGTAAACAGCACTTGTGACATACTCGGCGATGGAAAGACGCCACGTTTGTTGATGTTTGATACCCATGATAGGTCACGTGTCTTACCTGGCGCAATCGGTCAATTCAAAAGATTGCCGTGCGTTTGAGGCTTGTTCAAACTATCATGGAACGCCCAGGTGCACGGTTATTATTGTTTCCATCCATTCTCGTTTGTCAGACATGGTCCCCACGGAATAGACCAATTTTCGTTTTACTTTGAGAGCACTCAAGTTAAAAATGATGAGCACGTCAACCCAGCGCAGCACGTTTTCTGCATTCATAATACACACTGGAGTAAACACACCACAATACACCCAAACAAACGCACAGCATTTAGATTACAGCATTTGGCTATATATGGGTGCGGAGAGTGGGACAAATGACACTGGTGTACATGTATGTTGACAAGAATGTACAATAAAATTGTATGCAAAAGACAGTGAATAGTGGTACAAAAAGATTATCAAAATGAACTTGCTTAATTGGGGGAAATTGACGAAATACCATTTCTTGAAGCTCTGTGCGAAATTGTTATGAGGAAAATTATTTGTTTATGACGATGTGCACTGTTACATATTGTCCACGAACTGGGCTCCACACAGGCCTGCACACACACATAGAAACAAACTCATACACACCGAGCCGTCCCCACAGCAGAAATACTGTTGGCTCAGTGCATGTAGCAAAGGATTATAGTAAACAAATAAAAACTACCACCTGAGGAGTACTGGAAGTGACTGGGTATGTGGACAGCCGTCAGGAAAAGCCCTCTATCGCGCTAGGTATTGTTAAAACAGTCATTCTGGAAACGTAATATTATTTCTTGAAACAAATACTTTCTTTTGATATATAATTTGTTAACAAGTTGTGTAATATATTGTAATTATAATTAAAAATATATCAATGAATGTTTTGTTTAAAAAAGTGATTTTCTGACTCAAAACTACTTTCCCAGTAAAAGTTACATGTCACTGATGCTAGTATTATGCTGACCTTTGCTCTACACATTCACATTTGGAAGTGTTACAGGATCGTACAGTTACAGAGATATCAGCGTTCAGGACATAATTATGTAGGCCTACTGTCAGAAAGGCTGGAAGTAATGTAGGCCTATGAACACTTTTTAAAAAATGACGCAGGCGTGTATTGAAATGAAATTTCCATGCATGTGGTTAATATGGCCGTGTTTTTAAATGTGTTGATACATGAAATAATTTTCACCTTAAATTATTTACCCCGAAAGGGGTCAATATAATTTTGTATATTAGGCACACTGGGCATTTAGCATAATCACACATTCACATTGTTCAGTAAGTCGAAAGTGTATGAAATCTCTATCTGAACTTCTTCAGTGAATTCAGTCTTCCCAAACCATAGTCTGCTAAGAAGTGGAAATGTGTTGAATTATGGGGATATGCAATGAGATCAACTGATCAGGTAAAGATCGACTGACTATGCAGATTCACAAATCACATTATCACCATGATACAATCGCACATGTTGTACTGCTACATACGTTGCAAGGATTGACATTCCAGATAGAGCCGCTTTCCAAGTAACCAGACTCACTTATTTTAAGGAATGGCTAGTTTAACCACAAGCTTAAGACCCATGGGGAAGTAAAGCAGGGCTGGACCGGAAGAGCCATTAAGGCAGTCCACAGGTCTTATAAGGAAAAATCAGTATTATTAATTTGCCTAGCCCTACCCTCAAATCCAAATGAACCAATATACCCAGCAAGAAATGAGACCGAGACGTACCCCCCCCCCAACATGTCCAATCCCTATACACATTTCAGACTATTGTTACTTAACACATCCCCCCAAGATGTCTGAAAGGAATTCCCCAGATTCCTGCCAGACAATGACCAACACAAAGCATGGGGGTTCTCTCCGTCTCATACCTTGCTGCATATGTGAACCAAACACATTCATTCACGCTGTATTAATATTCAGGGGAATAGTAGCCGATACCTAAAAGGCAAGGAAACTTTTATGATGAATGAAAAGTCGAATAACCAGTATAAAAACCCTATGAGATCTGTGAATCAGGCAGAGAGCCGCACATCGAACCAGCCCCCCCCCCCAAAAAAACACATCAGCTACATTACAACTTTGCCCCTAGACGTCTTCTTGTGTCGATCCATATAATCTGTCAGGTTATAACATAGGCCTACTGAGTTGTATGGCCCCACGTTTGTATGAATGACTCATGAAAACTTTGCATTAACCTGTTGAGATGTTTTCCCAATGGTCAGGAACAGTCCTAGGGAAACCTTTCGGCGATATTTGAAGCAACTCATACAATCGACCCAGCTGATACGTGTGTTGTAGTATTGTGTGGAAGCAGGTTATATACTCTAGATTGGGTATCAGCCAAGCATAGATGACCTGGAAGATGCCACCATAAGGGTGTGACAGCCTGGACTCAAAAGTGCAGTTGCCCATTGTTTATTTGGACATTGGTACACACTGTAGGCAAAAACACATAATGCAGCTGCAAGAAATGTTTCACTTTGAGAGTTCTACGCTTTATTTCAGGCGTAGGCCTACCTCTGTAAGTCAAGGCTTTCATTATATCATTGCAAGAAAAAAATGCACGTACAGAAACCTTTACCTCATAAGAAAAAGCAGGACATTATAAGCACGCCTTTTTGTTCAACAAGTATATGTAGTATGTGTTTCAAGTAACCTTTGATTTACAATTGCTACGCATACATGTATATATAACCTTTGGAATCTGTCGGTGAATTCAATCCTGTTTTGTTTGACTTGAGCATAAAAGCAGTGTCCATAAACCTGACTTCACCTGTGAATTTCATACGTTTATAAAATGCCTCGTTCAAAACTCAGAAAGATGGCTAAACCATTGGAAATTATCAGTGGAGTCATATTTTTTTATAAGTTTGCAGTTAATGAAATGTCATCTCTATTAACTGGGAGTTACATCATGTGCAATTAGCAGTTAGGCCTACCCAGGATTTACAAATAGGGAAGGCAAAATACAGAGCACTCATTTCCTAGCTTATAGGCATGTTTACCAAATGTAACTTTCTTGGCTTCTTTTACATAGTTTAAAATTGATCTTTTATACAAAAGTTTTTGATACTTTCCGCAAATGAATCTGAGGATTGAAGAACCTACCCCTGTTCTAAATTTAGAGACTGAAAGTGTTTTTGTTAATTTCTGAGTACCTCAGGCTGTTTGTCTGAAAGAAATTAGATGTGGTAGGTGATGCCAAAGTAATTTTGACTCCAATTACAACGTGGCATTTAGTGTGTGACAATATCGGATGAGTGACACGAGTATTTTGTGTCTAGAATTCCCCTTTGCTCTGCACTATCGGGATTTAGGTGCACATCCAGAAAGAATCTGTAGAGAATAATGTCCTAATCTGAACAAATCTTTTGTTTTAAAATTGTCTTGGAATATTGGTGTCTTGATGACGTCATTGAGATCACATGACATTCCTGTAGAATTGAATTCTTGGTAGACCAGTATCTGAAGAACGTCAAGTCTATTGAGGCTAAAATCTGGTGTGACTCATAGAGCTAAAGCACTCTGGTATGGTTGCAAACAGGGTTGTGATACATTTGAAAAAAAATTGGTCATGTCACCATCTGATTTTTTTTACTTTTCCTTATTTGACATTCTCTAGGATGTATCTTTCAAAAAATATTTTACAGGCTTATGAAAGACGAAATCTGATCTGATGTGACAATGACGTCATCAAGTAACAAGTGACATGATTTCAAAAGTGCATCCTTTAAAGCCCTATCTCTCCTGAAGTACAGGCCCAATTGGGATGAAACTTGGCGCATAAATAGAAAGGGGGGGCGTTATAAACGAAAATGGATATCAAGGGATGATAAGACTTTCAGGTGATAAGTCCCATTGACAGTAAAGGTGCACATGCCAAAGAACTACATGGTTATCTCATGAACTATACCCAACGATTGTGTCGCAACTCTGTAAATAGCTAGGAAAGAAATTGTCATAGACAATCATTTATATCGTGAGGATGATGTCACCACCTGACAAGTCATGTGACATTACAGGTACCTCCCTTCAAAGCACTCTCCTGAAGTACTGGCCTGAATGAATTGAAAGTTTGCAGAAAGCTAAAATGAGAAGTACTTGCATTATTCAAGATATTTAATATGAAGTCCCCTGACATACTATGCGTCACGATGACACAGATTGTACAGTTTTAACGGATTGATTTCCATTTCTTTCATTAATTAAACAGCTCCCAAACAGCTCTGCGTTCAAAGCAGTAATTTTAAATTACAGCAAATGAACATGAATATTCACTTTCGAAGGGTCGCGGTAAGAGACATATTTGTTGTAACTGACAACGAATATATCAATCCGGAATCCCAGTCACGTATCTGTAACCTATGAAACGTAATGCACATTCATTTATTTGAAGGATGCAAAACGAAGTCGAATGCTCGTTTTTGCGAAAATGAAACCAGGTTTGAAGTCGTTTTCAAAATTTACACCAAAGTGAATTTTTATTTAACAAATTAGATCGGGCATTTTCCGAAATTGGCTGGGAAACCTATATTAACTGGTATTAAGAATGTTGCAAAATGTCAAAAGCAAACAAAGTTTGACTTACCCTTTGCGAACTCTTTGCATGCTTGTGTAGCTAAGAGCGCCTCTCCGAGGGTGGAGAAAGTTTCCGCCACAACGTAGTCAGCCGCCGCTTCCCTAATCCATTCCAATTGCTCCTATAGCGTCAAATTCATAAACCCAAATATTTAAAGTGTGGGGTCATTTTCCAACTTTTAGCAGTTTTGAGTGTACCCTTCGACTTCAAAGGGTGAACTGTTTGGAGAAAGTAGCTCATTTTGAATTGGCAGGAGATTTTGGTGACCAAAAATTGGAAATAAAAATACGTTCCCAATGTACGTGAAGTACGTCTTAGTCATAAAATCCCGGTGACTTTCTGTCTAACGCCATTAATCAGTGAAATGCTAAGAACATGGATTGAAGAAATAATTATTTAAATAGCAGAGGTGAATGGTTCATTCGATTGCATGAATTATTTCTACACTTTTTACTGCTTTTATTGCAAAAATGTTTTCAAACTTATCTAATAAATGTCGATATGCATGCCAGATTGCTTCTTGTTGAAGTTCCATAACTTACTTTAAATATCTGCCAAATTTTCTCACGGTAGTTTGGCACAGTTTCCATGAAAAGATTTGTGTTACTGATGTTACCAGCCATCAGTGTACCAGTTTGATCAGCAACTTCACGTGCCATGCGCAGAGCACTCTTGTTGATTCGCTCAAAATCGTCCTCTCGGCCAACAAGCGCCATCTTTTCACGGTTTGCATAATACTTAAATGTGAAAAGAGGAAATAAAAATATGAAAGAATTTAATATGTAAAAGACAAAAACTCTTCCTCTGATGGGATTCGAGACAAAGGCTTCAAGGGCCGATATTTATAAAAGCCTTCTGAGCCTAGTTGGCTGCTGTTCCCGAAAGTCATTTGACCCATCCAAAACATTACCATATCCTATTGACATGCATACACACGTTGTTTGGTTGTTGGGTTTAAAGAACTGCCCAACAAACATTTTCACTAATAAATTAATAATATTATTGTGCATGCATGCATCCACTGTACAAAAGGCCTTAGCAGCAAGGGCCATTGAAAATGTATAGGGGTGCAATTTTGATCATTTTCTCTCAGGTTTTCTGGGGTTTTTTTTAAAAAAAGCCGGATTTTTTAGTGGTATTTTGATCTTGGACTGCCTTGCTTGTGGTTTTGGTCTCAGGCTTCACCTGTCGGTATTGGCCCTGGACTAGGACTGCCTGGTCTGTGGTCTCGGTCTTGAACTGTCGGTATTGGTCTTGGCCTTAGGCTGGTTAGCTTGTGGTCTTGGGTTGCACCTGTCGGTATTGGTCTGTGTCTAGGAATGTGATCTTACACTTGGAATGTCAGTTTTAGTCCCAACTGCCAAGTCTGTGGTCTTGAACTTTGTCTTAGATTGTCGATTATTGGTCCTCCTGAGGTCTGCCTGGTCTGTGGTCTTCATTCGTTCTTGGTGTCGTGGCTGTCGGTATTTGTCCTCGTCTTTATGGAAACCACCATGTTATTATTATCTCAATTATCAGTGTATAGACCCTTACAGTGAATGCTAGTACTACGTCACTTCCGGCGTGGATAAATTCCTCGTGTTGTAGCCTGACTAGCTCGGGATGTTCCAGAACAACTTCGGGCACATAGGATCCCGCTGTCAGGTAGCCCCGACGTTCAAAGACGAAAAGATACCCCTCCGCGCAGATAACCGTTTCACCATCGCGAATACGATCCAGTAAACCTAGTAACAAAACAGTGCGTAGCTCAGTTTTGTCTGAAAACGAAGCAACATTTTTGCCGTCAGTCAAACCCTACGAGGGGCAAAATGACGTGATATGGAATTATAATTCTATTGTCGTTGAAAATTTTGTGCTGCATAATGTTCCACTCACCTTTGGGTCTCTGTGGCGCATCCATATTTGTGCATGACCTTTAAGGCAGAGTGCAGAGTTTACATGAACGTGGGCATGTACTGAAGTGAAGCATAAATGTTTTGTACCGTGCTTGTGCGACCCGAACACATTGAATGGGCCATGTGACCTTAGGTTCAGGCTTTAGTAATGGAGGATCGGCAGCGCATTATGTAGTGAAGGGAATGGATTGGATCATACACTCGTAATGTATCCTATCCCCCTATCCTACCCCCACAGATTTTTTCGAAAAGAGGGGTCTGTTTGGGCCAAGAAATAGTGGGATTTTGTCAGTATGGCCCGCCCGGGATCATCTCTGTAGATTCAGGGGCACTCATCCGGGGGCAAAGCAGACAAAAATGTGATAGAAAATTTGTCAGAAGAACTCCAGGAAGGTGAGGAATGTCATTTGAAAAATGGCCGCTGAGAAGACTTGGGAACATTTACTTTTGGGGGGATGAGTTTGTTTTGGGCGGATAATTAAAAAATTCATTGGGTAACCTACTAAAAATTTAAAATCAAATGAAATCTGAAGGACCAAACAACACATTGTTTTTGTTTTTTTGTTTGAGAGGCCTCTGGGCTTCAGTTGCCTGCCATGTTGCTCCAAACTTGCTTGATTTTACACTAGTTTCAATGGAGCTTGAATTGGTTCAGTGCACCAATAATGCAGTAGACCGATCTTGAAGAACACCCTCTTCTGTCAGTACATTTTGCTTTCATTTCGGCCTGCACAGGTTGAGGGTAAAAGTGTTTTTTAATTCTACAAGAGTTTGTGCAATGTATGGCACTACACAGAGGGTTAGTGGATATGTTTTATATTTTATAACTGGAATTGTATGAAGACTTTACTGCAGTTTAGTTTCAACATATTTCCCATGGCAAGGCTCCAGTGTGTACAATGAATGTATGGGTTATTCGGTTCTGTTGGATAGACTTTTCTGAATGGCCTTTCTAGGGATCAAACTAGCATATAATTTTAGTGTGCTCTCTCAGTTTGTAATGATATTGAGAGAAAGAAATTTGCATTGTCACGTGTACTGAATACTTACTTGACAACAAGACGGTGAAAATGGGAACGCTTCGCGAAGCTTCTCTGACAAACTCATGGACCTAATCATTCTTAGTCCTAACGTTTAAAGGATGTGTATGTCTTAATTTGTTTTACATCGACGTTGAAAATACCCAAGTTGACAAATACACACTTAACATTGTCTCTGCGAGTTGAAAGTCCAGTCAAAGCGTCGACAGAGCTTAAAGCTGTTCATATCGGGCCTAATTATGTTCGACTCTGCACTTTAGGTATTTCTCTAATTCCTGCTAAGTCTGTAAAATAAAGAGAGATGCTGGCAAATTACATTTGACAGACAATGCCTTTTCTTTGTATTGCGAAACCTTTTCCAGTGAGTAAATGCAGGGGTCGGCGGTATAAATACCTGATGGCAATGAAGGTGCGGTGAGTAAATGTTCTTCACGATCCTCATTTTTAGGGTGGGGTGGGGGGGTTAGGAAGCATTCTCCTAATTCTCAAAATGAGGCTACATCAAACTTCTGCACTCTACACCACTCTTCTGTCTCCATACAGTATACTATTTCTAACACCTTGAATCAACTTAAGAGAGATCACTCTACACAAAGACCAATGCATGCCACGGAATTAATGTGACCATCAATGGATGGAATGTACTCCGCAATCACAACGTGCCAGATCAGAGGAGGTAAGCTGGCAAATATAGCAGTTTGGAGAGCAAATCGACTATTCCAACGTTGATAAAGGTTTAATTATACATGTGTACTCATTCTTTTTTGTACGGGTATGAGACATAGTGCAACAATGGGGTCTGTGTCCTCTATTTGCATTCAGATGACCACTGCTTCACATTGGTGCCACTGTAACCAGTGAGATGTCAAATTGTGCAGAGGCGGGGGGGGTAGCGGTTCAATTCCACTTGATTAATTACTGTTGGAGTCTGGAAGTCAAATGCAGGATCCCACGAGGAAAGTGCTCACAAACTGAACAAGTAAGGTAACTATGCTTCTCCTTTTTGTAATCTCCTAACACATCAAGAGCCTTCCATTTGATTTCTCTTGTAGCTTGTCTAGAACTCAACTTCACGAAAACCAAGATGGGCTAGTTTTTGTACCAATATTCACATTTAGCAAGCTAAAGTGATGTGGATAACTGTATAACAGTGTGCATTTAAAATGAAATAACATGAATGAGCACATGTATTAGCTCGATCGATTGCGAATTGAAATGAGATGTATCTTTCTGATTTTTTTTATATTTTAAGTAGTACAAAACTGGTCGACGACCCACCTACAGCCTTACTGGACCAAAAGAGAGAACGCAATTTTCCTAGCAAAGGAGGTTCCTTTGGTCGGAAATGAACTTCGCTGATTCACCAACGGTTATGGATGCACCCTTAACGGTTGCATTGCTACCAACAACATGAACACTTCCGACCAATGACTCTTTCACTCAGTGAACTGCACCCAAA